CAATGTAAGAATAACAAGAATACTGAATACCTAAAGTGTAAGAATACAAATATAAAAAGGTGATATAGAGAGTAAAAAAAAAAAAAAAAAAAGAGGGAAGGCATAAACTAGTGAGTGTTAGATGAAAATAGATAAGATAAAATAGATAAAAGCGAATGAAAGAATGAGAAGAGTGAAGTGGAGACTGAACTTAAGGGTGAAAATACCTCAAAAAAAGTAAATAGCATGAACTTAAGTAAAAAGTAAAATGTAGGAACAAAATAAAACTCTTTAAGGGTGTCATGGTAAGAATTACAAAGGGAATAAGGAAGAATTATTTAAGGATGACAAGAGAGAAGAGAAAAGAGAGATAAGAAATATCGATGCAGTAAACAGAGAATAAGAATAAGTAAAAATAGAAAAAAAGTGCGAGAACATAAGGGAAAATTCTAAGGGTGAAGATGTTTGAAAAGAATTGAATAAAGTAGACAATAGGGATAAAATGTGATAAATATATACGGATAAAAAAAAATAAAAAGGGGGTAAGGAAGGAATGTTATTGTGAGGAAAATTAAAATGATTTTCCCTAATCTATATCAAATTGTCGTTAAATTTGATAGCATGTACATATGTTAAAAATATGTATATATAACAAAGAGCAAATTCTCAAATATCAAACGACATTTTTTTCCCTCTCTCTTTCTCTCTCTATTCTTTATTTTTATCCTCCTCTTGTTAACATGATATTCTGAGGCCAATATTCCCTCTCCTCTTGCCTCCCTCTTTCGTGTTATATGGACCGGATAACACACATATACACGTGCTCTCTCTCTCTCTCTCTCTCTCTCTCTCTCTCTCTCTCTCTCTCTCTCTCTCTCTCTCTCTCTCTCTCTCTCTCTCTCTCTCTCTCTCTCTCTCTCTCTCTCTCTCTCTCTCTCTCCCTCTCTCTCCCCCCCTCTCTCTCTCTCTCTCTCTCTATCTGTCTCTATCTCCCTCTCTAGCTCCCTCTCTTTCTCTATCTATCTATCTATCTATCTATTTATATCTCTTACTTTTTTTTTCTTTCTCAATCATTCTCTCTCTGTTTGTGTACCTGTCTGTCTGTCTCCCTTTTTGCCTCTCTCTCCCTCTCTCTCAGTTTATCTATCAATCTATCTATCTAACTCTATCTCTTTCGCTCTTCCTGTCTCTCTGTTTGCTTCCCCCTCCCTCCCTCTCTCCCTCCCCCCCCCCTTAATCTCTCTCCCCTCCCTCCCCTCCTTTCTCTCTCTCCCCCCCTCCCCCCCCATAATCCCCCTCCTCCTACTCCAACTCACTTTCCCTCCCTCCTTCCCTCCCACAGCGGGCCGCTTGTACATCATAGCCGCCGTGCTCGTGGCTGTGATCATCCCCTGCTTGGTGATCATCTGGTGTTACGTCAAGATCTTCCTGCTGGTGAGGAGGAACCAGAAGAAGAAGATGATGCTGGGGAAGAGAACGGGAGCGAGTCAGCCGTCGCAACTACAGATGTCTTTGGTGAGTGTTCTGTGTGTGTGTGGGTGTGGGGGGGGGAGGTTTGTGTGAGGGAGTGATGGTGTTGGTAGGGGAGTGGTGATGGGTGTAGGGGAGTAGTGGTGGTGTTGTGTGAGTGAGTGGTGGGGATGTGTGAGTGAGTGGTGATGTGTGAAGGAGTGGTGGTGATGTTGGTGAGGGAGTGGTGTTGTGTGAGGGTGTGGTGGTTTTAAGGGAGTGATGGTGTTGAGGGAGTGGTGTTGTTGGTGAGGGAGTGGTGGTGTGTGTGAAGGAGTGGTGATGTTGTGGGTGAGGGAGTGGTGATGTTGTGTGAAGGAGTGGTGGAGATGTGTGAGATGGAGTGGTGTTGAGTGAGAGGGAGTGGTGATGTGTGTGAGTGTGAGGGTCCAGTGAGTGTGTGTGGTGTCTGCTATGACTCATGACTGAGTATGACTGTGACTTTTGAGGATGCGATGCGTGGCTGTGACTGGGGAGTTCAGTAAATATGTTACTGACGATAATTATAATAATAATAATAATGATAATAACAATAGTAATAATAATAATAATAATGATAATAACAATAGTAATAATAATAATAATAATAATAATAATAATGATAATAATAATAATAATAATGATAATAATAATAATGATAATGATAATAATAATAATAATAATAATAATAATGATAATAATAATAATGATAATAATAATAATGATAATAATAATAATAATGATGATCAAAAAAGTGAAAGTGAGAGAGAGAGAGAATGAGAGATAGAGAATGAGATAGAAAAAAATAGATAAATACATAGATAGATAGGTAGATACATAAACAGAGAAAGAGATAAGGAGAGAGAGACAGAGATGAATAGATAGATAGATAGATAGAAATAGATAAGCAGGGAGAGGAGTCGAGAAAAAAAATCCAAAAGGTAAGTGTAATAAAATAATATTTCCCACATAAAGGAATCCCCTTCAAGAACAATGCAACCACACAAGAATCACTCAAAGATGATAATATAAA